CCCAATCAGCAGATGACTCGCAGGTTCCTTTGTTCCCTGGCTATGAAAACAGACCAGTAACCCTTGCTCAGGGTCTCCCTGGCTATCAGGAAGTCGGCCCGCTGTTCTGGCAGCGACACTTCCCTCTAATAAATTCTATCTTCTTTTCATTCTGCCTTGTGTCTGGAAATTCTTTTCCAACCCACGTTCGTACCATGACAACCATGGGTACCTCAAGAAGAAACACCCACCCTATATGATCATTTCTGACCCCTCAGACCCCAGCTGACCACTATCCTGATTGTTAATGTAATAATATCTTGTTTGTCACTTACCTATCTTTGAAATTTACATAAATGCAATCAAATTGTATGACTCTCTTACCTTGCTGAGTTGTTAAAACTCCTAACTGGATTAACTCAAAACTCCACACTAAAGGCTTTGCAGAAGTAAATGTATGCCCCATTCAGGGATAAAAACTATTTTCCTCAGTTACTATGGTGTTGCAAGACCCCAAGATCAACCCTCCCTCCGAGGTTCAATGATTCACTGGGAGAACTCACAGCAAAACATACAAAGCAAAATCAGCAAAAAAAGAAAAGGTGCATTGGGCAAAGTCCAGGAAAAACCAGCCACATTCTTCCAAGGATCCTTTCCCAGTAGAGTTACCCAGGCCATTAATACATGTGAAATAGTACCAACCAGGGAAGCTCATTAGAAATTCAGTACCTAGGGTTTTTATCGGAGCCTGGTCACATAGGCAGTCTCTGCCTGGCACATACCAGAATTTCAGACTCTCAGAAGGAAAGCAGGTATTTAGCATAAATTGTATTGTTTGCACAAACACTTTAGGCACAGTAAGCCATTCTTATCAGTGAGGATAATGGGAATCTTCTCAAAATCCAAGTTCTAGTTGCAAGCCAAGGGCCAAACTTCAAGCAGGCCTTTCTAAGGATAAGAAGTCTCAGGTCTGCTATGTTAATCCTTTTCTGCACACTACTGTCCTAAACAAAATGTCTGGCTTTCAACAACAACAAAAAATTTCAAGGCATATGAAAAGGCAAGAAAAATCAAGACACTCCCAAAACACAAAGCAACAATCAGAACTAGACTCAGGTGTTCTTAGCTTGTTGCTGCATAACTTCAATCTCTGCCTCTGCCCTCACACAGCCTTCTTCTATCTTCTGTCTATTGTAAGTGGATTTAGGTCACAACCAGATAATTGGGATAATCTCAGCTAGCAATCCTTAACTTAATTACATCTGTAAAGACCCTTTTTTCCAAATAAGGTCACATTCACAGGTCCTGGGGGTTAGGATGTGGACATATCTCTGGGGTGTCACTATTAAACCCAAAACAACCTGTTACTCTATTTAGTTTTATCCTAATAGATTTCCTTAGAATTCTCCTCTTATGTCACTGATCTCAGTGGTTTAGCAGAGCAAAGACCAAACTCGATCTACCCACCAAAACTTGCTCATTCTATAGTTTTATCTTAGTAAATGACAATTCTGGTCTTCTAGTTTCTTGGGCTGCAATATTTGGGCTGGCCTAGGTTCCTCTCTTTCTCTCATATCCCACATCAAATCTACAGATCCATTTAGCTCTATCTTCAAAATATATCTAGAATCCAACTATTTCTCCTAACTACCACTGCTATCACCCTAGACCGAGTCACCATTATCTCTTACCTGGATTATTCCAACAGCCCATTGGCTAGTTTCCCTGCTTCCTTTTATGTCCCCCTACACCCTACTCTCTACTCAGCACCCCAAATGATGTCTTTTAAATATAAGATCATGTCACTCTTCTGTTCAAAACCCACTATTGCTTTGACATCTTGCTAAGACTAACCAAACTTCTTAAAATATTCTCCAAGGCCTTACATAATTTGTCCTCTCATTAGCTCTTTCACCTCATCTACTACTCTCTACTTTGTCATGCTGGCCTACTTACTGCTCCTTGGATACACCAGGTTTGTATCTAACTTATGGCATTTATGTTTAGCTGTTTTCTCTGCTTATAATGCTCTTTATCCAAATATCTTCAAATGTCACTGCTTCTTCCTTTTGTTTTTGATCAAATATTTTCTTCTTAGGAAGGCTTTTCCTAACCATTCTATTTAAAATCACAACTCCCTTGTCACTCACTATCTTATTTTCAAGCTTCCACATAAAGGAAGCTTGACCCAGATAAAGGAACACTATATACTTTATCTGGAACACTATATACTTCATTTACACGTTCACTGGTCACTTTCCCAGACTAGAATGTAAACTCCTTGAGGACAGGAAATTTGGACCGTTTTGTTCACGGATGCTTTCCTAGGGCTTAGAACAGCACCTGGCACAGATAAAGGGCTCCATAAATATCTGCTGAATGAAGAAATACATTTTGACAGCAACAGGAAATAGGCACTTTCATAAATTTTTTGGTGGAAATGGAAAGTGATTCATCTTTTGTGGACTGCAAATACTTATACATAACCTCTGACCCAGCACTTAGAAGAAATCGAAAGATGCACATGCACATCTGTGCAAAGCTGAATATATAAGGATTTCATTCCAAAATTGCATAAATCTGAAAACATCCTAAAAATTCACTAACATAGTATTAGTTAAAGTATGACATTTCCCCAACCATAAAGCATTATACCACCATAAGAAAAAGGAATATATATTAATATGGAATGTCTTCTAAGAAATAATAGTGAGTAAAAAACAAGGTGCTTTATACTATACTAACATTTGTGAAAAATAAAGATATTATATATACAGATATGTTGGTATAATCATAGAATAACTCAAAGTAGTTAACATAAGAAACTAGTCACTGTAGATACATGTGGAGAAGAGAAATACCGAAAGGGAGACTTCTTTTTTCACTATAACCTTATTTAAATTTTTAAAATCGATGAGATGATTCCTTTAAAAACAATTATGAAGTAAAAAACTTGGCAGAGAGGGGAGCTAAGAGGAAAGTAGCAATGATTTCTAAGCTAGCAGCTTCTCGTGGTAAAGGAGATTGCTGAAATATGACTGTGGGAAGTCAATGACAATGGTAAACTATAACCCTGAAGCTTTTAGCAATGGAAAGATAGAAAATGGAATGTAATAAGAAGAAACAGCAGCATGAAACATAAGAGTTTTAAAAGATTACAGATGTATGAAGGACTGACTGCATATGTAGGCTATGAAAATGAAGAGAATATGGTCCTCTAGGATCTGCTTAAATAAAGAGGGCACTGATAGAGGAAGAATGATGAGTGAAGGATTCACATCAACTAAAACTCAAGAAAAGTAGGGTCTATATAGCAAAACCTGGAAAACATTTTATGGTGTAAATTGCCTCACTGAACACCTATCTGTGCTCTCCCTTGTCCCAGGCACATCTGCCTGGTTCCCACTCATTCACTTGTACAGAAAAGGCTCCCACTCCTTTTCATTTCTTCTACTCACCACCTATGGCCTATTTTCTTGTCCTAACTTGAAGATTTCATGCAGTTTGGTGATGTGAGAGCCTGTATATAGGAAAATCACAAAAGGCTTGAATTGAAGCACCATCTCCAAACTCAGACTGACCTTGGGCCTTTAAGGAAATTACCATATAAAGAGGAACAAAGTAAATAACCTTTTGCCTTAAAGGTTGAGCATATACAATCATGTCACAGAGGGCTTGAGAATATCTGAAGCCTACATCTGAAAGCTGAACCCATTATGCCATGTAAAGATTCTAAATATATCAGAGATGTCACTTTACTTTCAAAAGTTGGATTATACGGAGAAGTTATCCATACATAATGTGGCTATGTTGCTCTAGTTCTCCAGCATCATATACCTATACAATTTCCTCTAAACATCTTTTAATTGTGGCTGAGCCTCCTGGTTGAACTGAACAATCACATCTCTGAATATTTACCTCATCAATGTCTCCCAAGGAACAGAGAAGAGAAAAACGTCTGGGGATAAGTTTGTGGACATAACCCAAAACAGGCACCCCCATAATAAAATACACCCTATTTAAAAAGCCATACTGATTCAGTATTCTATTTCAGAACAAAATGTTTGGAATCTTAAGTGGTTATATTAAAATGGTATAAGTTATTTATTATATCAACAGGGAGCTTTTTCTCCTTAAAATTGAATCTACAGGAAGACGTATCCTATTATCTCAGTTTGAAGAGGAAATGAGGCTGAGAGGATTCAGATTCCTCCACTATCTCAGCCACCCATGCAGTGGCCCACAATCACGTGATGACACACATATTTCCATACACACACAATCTTGCCCTACCACGTGCACACACACACAATTACTCCCAACCACACAAGCCCACAATATGACCCTCCATCCTCACAAAGCCACTTATAATCTTGATCCCACCTCTCTCTCACACTCATCAATTTTACCTGCATGCAGTCTCTCTTCCATTCAACTAACCCCTAAATGTAGTCACACACGCAATCTCATCACGGTCTCACACTCGGGCCCTCCTTCACCCACTCTCGCATACGTGACTGGGCCTGTGGATTTCTCCCCTTCAAACTCCCTAGGCTGCTTTGGTCCCAGACACTCACGTCCTGCATTCGGGTTCGCTCTTCTGGCTCCCCGACACTTTCCGCAGCAGCTTGCCTCTAGGCATCTGCGCGCTCCCAGGGCAAAGCGTAATTCCTACCAGCCTCCTGGGCATTTAACTGAGGCCAAGTGCCGCCTCAGCGCCTAGGGAACGCAGTCTATCTTGGCCGGGTCCACTCCGCCGCTGGCAAAGTCCTGGACTACATTTCCCAGCAGGCCGTGAGGCCCAGGATGTTGCAGGGTGAGCGCCAAAACCTGAAAGAACCGAAACTTGAGGCTGGGATGTGTCAAAGAAGTTGCACCACACAAGGTAAACAGATAAGGAAGGCTTATTATAAAGACTATCGCAGTAGGGAAGAGAGATTGAACTCAACTGGGTATGTAACAGTAGCTGGGGATTTATAGCCACTGGGCAGGGTGATGGAGTCAGTGCGGTCGACTTGACTAAAGTTTGGTCGAGGGAGTTCTTGTCAGCTGAAACTCGCGGAAGCCTCAGGTGCGCTGCCGGATCCAGGCTTCCGCGGCCAGGGGGCATCAGGATGAAGAGGAGATAGCTTTTGGTAGCCTGTCGCTTTCTGGACTACATCTCCCAGAGGCCTCTAGGCCTAGTGCTCCTTCCCGCGAGAACTAGACCTTCTCCTGAGGAGTGGACGGGATTTTCTGACGGGTTGGGGCAAACGGCCTCAGGGTGCTGTGCGAGGTGCTGGACTCTATTTGTTTCAAGTAGAGTGGAGCGGTGCTGACCAGACCGGAGGAGTCGTAGGTGAGATGGCCTGGAGCCCGGGGTTGGAGCCGGGAGTGTCTGGAACCTCCGGCCTCTACGGGAGCCAGCTGGGAAGGGGCGATCGTGAGGAGTGTGTGTCTGATTGTGGTTGTGTCTCTGTGTCTGTGTGACCTTGTACCAAACTGTGAGGGCGGGAGACGGGCTTGATTGTGGATTTGATTGTGCAGGTGTGTTGGGGGTTTAATTGTGTGACCGGGTGTGGCACTGTTTGCGAGTGTGAGGTTCCTTGACCGCCGTTGTAAAACTGTGTATACACTTGGGATTTGTGTGTGTGTATTTATGATCATTTGCTGAGCCGTGGGTGTGGGATGGCTTAACTGTGAGATTTGTGTCTGTTTCTCCTTGGGATGTGTGTGTGTGTGTGTGTGTGTGTGTGAGTGTGTGATATTGTTGGTGGTAGGGTGCGTGTGAATTTGTCATTGTGTCCCCATGATGTATGTCACTGGGAATGTGAGTACGTGGGGATGCCTATGACTGCGATTGTGACTGACTGTCCCCGGGGTGTGTATGATTGCGTGGCCGTCTGCAGCCCATTTTGTTGAGGTTTGGGGTGCCTGTGTGCCCGTGGTGTGAGTTCCTATGATTATGTATCCATATAGCACTGTAGGTGTGGGGCGCCTTTGTCTGTGCCTTTGTGACTCCAGCGCTCTTTTACCAGGAGACCTCTGTGAGCTCAGGGACACATTCTGCCCAGAACTGCAAATGACCGTGCTTGTCTGTAATGCTGGTATTGAGCAGGACGCCCAAGACTTGTCTGACCTAATATCTGTAGGTGGTGGGTGGTAGGTTGACTTGGGCTCCCAGAGAGCCTGGTTTTTCCTGACTCCTTTCTCTCTCTCCAACTCTTCTCTGCTTGCAGAGTCTTCCAGAGTGGAGCAAAGAATGGCTGTTGAACATCCACAAGGCACCTGCAAGGTAGCTTGTTGTTTCCCCTTGTTTCCTGAAATCCTCTTTTCTATGTCAGGATATGAATTGGTTTCCTTCTCTTGAAAATTCTTGCCTGTCAGGTGACCTGATCTATGGAATTTTTCCTTTGAGAAATGTGATTTGCTCCCAAACCCAACCCACACACGTGACTTTCTCTTCCTAATTTGACAAATGGTTTAATTTTTCTTTATGCTCTCTTAAAAAAATATATTTTTTTATTATAAAATGAAATTATCTTAAATAATTTCAAAAGTACAATTCCCAATGAAGAAAATTTAAATTCCCAGTTAAAACCAATGCTAACTTTTTGATAATTGCTTCCCAGTATGTTTTATGTACATATATAAAGTGTGATATTTAAAAATTGATTTTACTCAGCATTTACCGTTTTATAGCCTACACTTTCACATAAAATTATATTTAAGTATTTCCCCACGATTTAATATTGGAAACATTTTTAGAGGTGCATATTTATTTGAATATGTCTTTTTTTTTCTTTCAAATTAGATACAGAAATGGCATTTAACACCCATTTGTGCAAATAATTATAAAGACCGATGTAAGGAATACCCAGGTCAAGAAAAAGAATACAGCCATCTCTAAAGCAGCCTCTGATGTACCCCTCCACAATCACAAACAATTATGCTCTTCTGGTGATAACCACTGTGATCATTTCTTTGTCTTTCATTAGAGCTTTGATATGAATTCCAAAACCACATAGATTTAGTTTTTGTCTGTTTTCTATCTTTGTATGAATAGACATTCTTTTGTGTCTTTTTTCATGAAAAATGTTTGTGAGCTTCATTCATATTTCCTATAACTACAGTTCATTTTTTTCCATTGCTCTCTATATACTGTCTTGTATAATAGTATCAGTTTACTACTTATCTATTCTACTCTTCATGGACATTTGACTTGCTTCTAGTTTTTGGCTGCTATAAGCAATGTGACTACAAATGTTTTGTGCACATATTTTGGTACACATGTGCTTGTATTTCTTTAATATATATACTAAAATTGTAATTAAATTGTTGAGGGTTTGGGTTTCACATCTTCAATTTTACTAGACAGTGCCGGACTGTTCTCTAAATATACTATGCAAGTTTTTTACTTGAATCAGCAGTTTAAAAAGGCTCCTTTTGTTTCACAGTCATGCCAGCTCTTGGCATTGTCACACTTTAAAATTTTTGCCAATTTGGTAGATACCTAGTGTTATCACATTTAATTGATATACCTGTATTATCAATGAAATTGAACACTAATTCTTGCCCGCCTGGATATCCTCTTTTGTGAAATGCTTGTTCAAATTTGCCAATTTTTAACTGGGTTGTTTTTCTCTAACTGATTTATAGCAGTTGAATATATATATAAAAAATATATACATAATATGTATCTTCTATATTTTAGTTTACTGTCAGTTGCACATGTGACAAATATTATCTTCTACTCTGACTTGGTTTTTCACTCTGGTGTCTTCAGGTGAATAGAGGTTTTGGATTTCAATGTGATGAAATCTTTTTCAATAGTGCTTGTTTAAGAAATTTTCTGCTACCTCAAGGTAATGAAGATTTTCTTGTGTTCTCTTCTAAAAGCTTCCTTGTTTTTAGCTTTAACATGTATGTTTCTACACTACCTGGAATTGATTTGTGTAGGGTAGGGATTCAATTTCATTTTATCCCCCATGTGAGTATCCAGTTGCTCCAGTATCATTTATTGAAAAGTTCATCTTTTCTACACTGAGCTGCAGTGCCATTGTAGCCAAAAATCAAGTGACCATTATGGCCACATCTGTTTCTGGACTTTATGTTTTGTTCCATTGCTCTGTTTGTCTCCCCTTGCAGCAATACTCTGCTATCTTATTCACTGTGACTTTATAATATTTGGAACAAGTCCTCTTACCTTCTTGTTCCTCAAGAATGTCTTGGCTGTTTGTGTTTCTTTGCATATTCCATACACATTTTTGAAATAGTTTGGTTCCACTCAAACATCTTTTGGGATTTTGATCGAATTGCATTGTGTCTATAATTATGTGAGTAGAAATTTGGGGAATCTTCTAATAACATGAATCTCTCAATTGATATTACATTTTCTGCATGTTTCTCATCAAAGTCTTGATTATCTCCTGTAAATAGTCTTTGGCAGGGACTTCCCTGGCAGTCCAGTGGTTAAGACTCCGAGCTCCTGATGCAGGGGGTGCAGGTTCGATCCCTGGTCAGGGAAGTAAGATCCCACATACGGCAAGGCGCTGCCAGAAAAAAAAAAATAGTCCTGGCAAATAGGAATAATTTAATCCATCGTATATAGTATTTCCCTTTTGCGTTGACTGCCAGGAATTTGAGCACTTCAGAAATGATCAATTGTAGTAATAATCTTAGCCTGGGTTTTTGACATTGAATACCTATGATGTATGACCTTTGTGTATGATTAAAATTTTTTCTTTATTCTTAGCCTCCTCAAATACATTTTTGGAAGCGGGGGATATAAAAATGAGATATAGACTTAGATACAGATGTAGGTATTTATTGTCTAATATTTTTATTTTAATAACATTCTTGTCTAATCAAGTCAGATTTGTGTGGTACCTTTTGCTGTTCTCCCTATATTATATTTCTTTGTTAACTACTCTTTCCACTTCTCTTCCCCAGCCCCCTCAACCCCCTCCCCCACACTCTTCTCCATCAGGCAGTGTCTGCCTCTACCTCTTTGCCATCTATTCTCACTAACACTTTAGTTTAAATGTTGGCTCCCTCAGAAAAAAAAAAAAAACAAATCATCCCTCGGGTTATTTTACCTACACTACTAGTCTCTGTAACATGGTATAAAAATTAGGGATTCTAGTATCAAATGTGACATCTGATCTCAGCTACACCACCTACGAGCTGTTTAACCTGTAAACAAGAGGTTCTCATTCTCAGTGTTGTTGAGAATGAAATAAGATATGTAGAACACTTGGTACACATCAGAAATTCAATAAATGTTAGCTCCCCTCTCCTTTATTTCCCATTCTTGGGACCTCTAAATCAATTATGGTATAAAGTGGTTGCCTAAAAGTCTTTTGGTGGGTCCCAAAGTCTTTTGGTGGGTCCCAAAAGATCTTTTTTTTTTTTTAAATTGCTGAGGTATAATCGACATATAACATTATATTTGTTTCAGGTGTACAACGTAATGATTCAATATTTGTACATACAGTTGACCGTTAATGTGGAGGTTAGGAGCGCTGACTCTGCACAGTCAAAAATCTTCATATCACTTACAGTCGGTCCTCCATATCCATAGTTCCTCTGTATCTGCATTCTCGGATTTAACCAACCACAGATCCTGTAGTACTATAGTATTTACTACTGAAATAAATCTGCTTATAAGTAAAACTACTCAGTTCAAACCCATGTTGTTCAAGGGTCAACTGTATTGCAAAATGATCACCACAGTAAGTCTAGTTAACATCCATCACCATACACAGTTACAATTTTTTTTCTTATGAATTTTAAGATTTACTCTCTTCATAACTTTCAAATGCAATACAGTATTATTAAGTCTACACCATGCTGTACATTATATCCCCAAGCTTTATTTATTTTATAACCGGAAGTTTGTACCTTTTGACCCCCTTTACCCATTTCACCCAACCCCACCCCCTCACCCCCTGTCTCTGGCAACCAACAATCTGTTCTCTGTATCTATGAGCTTGGTTTTTGTTTGCTTATTTGTTTAAATTCCACATGTAAGTGAGATCATAGGGTATTTTTCTTTGTCTGTCTTACTTCACTTAGCATAATACCCTCATGGTCCATCCACATGGTTGCAAATGGCAAGATTTCATTATTTTTCATGGCTGACTAGTATTCCATTGTGCATTGCCTACCTATTGTTATATTATTTGAATAGTTTGTATTATGTATTTGAATTTTTAAATTTTATGTCTCTGTGCTTGTACCTGTGCCATGTTGAGATCATTTCTTTTTTAAAATCTTTGAATACTTGGTCAAATATGTCACTTTTCTGAAGATAGCTGTATACCTTATTTCTTTCATTACAAAAAAATTATTTATTACAACAAATTTGTAAAACACAGAGAAGCACAAATAAGTAACAAAAGTTATCTATAATCCTGTCAGTTAAAGACAACTGCTGTCAATACTGAGAATTCATTTCTAAATGTGATCATACTATGGCTATTGACCTGTAACCTGCCTTTATCATGCCAAAATATCAATACATTGTGAACAACTGTCCATGTCTCTACACATTTATCTTTACCATGAGTTGTAATGGCCTTATCATGTTACCATTTTACCAAGCCCCCTTTTTTGAACATGGTTTGCTTACAAATTATTGCCATTATAAACAATGAGCATCTCCTTAGACCAAATGCTAGTGCTTTCCTTTTTAAATTTTATTTTTAGTTAAATTATATTTAGTTAATAATCATAATTTTGTTATAAAAATAATTTGTATGTTATGAAGGGGTTCAGGTCTGATGTAACTACAATCCCCAATCCAAGGTACTCAAAGTACCCAAAGGTAGCCACTGTTATCAGTTAATTATTTATCCTTTTAAAATATCCTTTTACATGCATACACATGTAAATGTGTATGTGGTACTGTTTTGTCACTTAAAAATATTTCTATATAAAAACGATTATAAGTGTATCCTGCAAAATGTGGAAAGTAAATGAATTATAGAGTGGATCCAAGGATTGAGTTGGTTCACATAAAACACTTAAAAGAGGACCTGCCCATTTACTTAGTGTCAGTTAGTTATTGTTACTGTTTGTGCTTTTTATTCTGTGTGGAGAATTGTTCACTTAAATGTAGAGCTCATTTTAATTGCTTCATGTAAGGCCATATTTTATAATATGAAATCATAGAGATAATAGAGTACACATATTCTAAACTTCAGTAAACACTTCCAGTACACCCAGCTCTCTCTGCTAGAACCTGTGTTTCCACTGCCATTAGGTTACTTTTGGCTGCATAAGGCAGAAAAA